GCAATCAATGACAATATTGCAGTCGATCCAATCCATGTGTTGATTGGAACAATCATTATCCACTTGTCAGATTCAGCATATAAATGAATGTTTTGTGGCACATTTACCAATCCAACAATCAAACTCAATCTCAATATTGAATATTATAATGTAATCAATTGAGTTGAATTGACACTCGATTGAACAATACAAATAAACACATGACAAATGTTTAAACAATATTCAAAGTGTGAATTTGAATACATGACAAATTAATACAATTTAACAGTTTTAATTTCACACAAAAATGCTTAATTTAAACTATTGTGTGAATTTGTTTCACATTATTCACATGACATTAAATTTTGGATTTAAAGTCCAATTTTTTCTTTTCTTTTCTTTTTTTCATTTCATTCCATTCTTATTCTATTCCATTCAATTCTTTCATTTCTCTCCAGTAAACTCCAATGGAAAACAAAGCATTCTACATTAAATATCTGGACTACCAGCCAGTGAAAATCGAAACCCACTTCAATGGAGAACTAGAAAGAAGAAGACCACTGACTGACATTGGTGGCCTGGTTGTTGCTTTCCAAGCACTTCCAAACTCTCCTCTTGCTTCTACCTTTGTTGACGAGCTCACTCTCCACTTGCCTGATGGACCTGCTATTCCTGGGAATACTCTCTTGATTGATATTCAGCAACCTACTGGTTCCTACGACCATCCACTGATTATTCGCTCTCTAAGAGATACTATCACTATGGACGAGCATATGGTTTGTTCTCTTCCTGAACCGGTGTATGACAATCCTGTGTCAAGACCCAACACCTCTGGCAGAATTTGGAAGAAGCCGACACATGTTTTCCTGTGGTCTGATTTTAAGCAAAGCGTTGTTGATTGGATTGGTGCTAATCATCATCAGCATTCTCAAAGAGTACAAAGACCTGTGTTTGTTTCTGGAATTATCATCACCGAAGAAGTTCAAAGTCTTCAACCCTTCATCAAGCTCAATTTGCTCAATATCTCTGCCAAGTGTTTCATTCCTCCTTCTGAATTCAAGGCACGACGTCAAATCACAAGCTGCGTAGGGGAACCAGATCATTTAATGACTAGAGATGGAGAGATTGTCGCCATTGTTGAAGAAAAGGGCAATTGGGCTTTGTCTACTGGTGATATCGTCAACTCATACGACACAGAAAGGACACGTGCGTCTGCTCTTGACCAACTCTACCACTATATGCGATTGAACCACAGACAATATGGGATTCTGTCGTCATACGAAAACACCTGGTTTGTTCATCGAAATCAAGAATGTGCCGTTTGTGAAGAACCTCAAGTTCATGAAA